ACCAGCAGTGTGAGGAGACCTGAAAGTGGCACATGGCAGAGTGTAGCGATGGAGACAGCAGCAATGGGAGGCCGTACAGGGACCCATGACACACTCTGGACCTGGCAGCAGCATGAGGAGGCAGTACAGGGGCCCATGACAGATTACGGGCCTGGCAGCAGCATGAGGAGTCGGTACGGGGGCCCATGGCAGATTACGGGCCTGGCAGCAGCATGAGGAGGCGGTACAGGGGCCCATGGCAGAGTGGCGGAGCGTAAGCAGCTAAAATTGAAGGCCATACAGAGGCCTATGTTAAAAAGTCCCCCCAGCAGCAGCGTGGGGAGACGACTATCAAGAGTCCAATGGCAGAGTGGCGGAGCAGAAGCAGCTTCAATTGAAGGCCATACACAGGCCTAGGTTTAAAAGTCCCTCACAGTTAATTCCAATAACGAACTCTACTCCTCCGTGCAATCTACTTACGAGACCCTGGGCAGGTCTGGGTCCAATTTGTGGTAGAGACTGGTTTTGTTCAGCCATGCTTGAGCGAGTAATAACAGGTCTGTGCTGCCCTTTGGTGTCTGGCTTAATGCGCACAACAATGAACGTTCCAGCGTTTGTCAACGAATTGCCGTTAAGTGATGCAAACCCCGAACCACTGAACCACGTTCATGAGGAGCCGGTACAGGGGGCCATGAATCAGTATGGACCTGGCAAGCAGCGTGAGCAGACGACAGAGACACATGGCGCAGGGTGGCGGTGGATGCAGCAGTATTCGGAAGCCAAACACAGGCCTCGGTTAAAAAGCGGAAGCCGTCAGCAGCGTGAGCAGACGACAGAGGCATATGGCGCAGGGTGGCGGTGGAGGCAGCAGCAATGGAAGGCCATACAGCACCCTATCACAAAATGGAACCCACCAACAGTGTAAGGAGACCTGAAAGTAGCACATGGCAGAGTCTGGCGATGAAGTCAGCAGCAATGGGAGGCCGTACAGGGACCCATGACACACTCTGGACCTGGCATAGCAGCAAGAGGATGCGGTTACAGGGGCCCA